TCCAACATGAAAATACCCCATTTTCATATGTTTATACTAACTGAGCTAATCCAGCTCTCGTCCTTCCTTTAAGCTGTCAATACGTATCTTGTTATACATTATAAAGTTGATTGTGATGTATCCCCTGAAACAAATATGACTACATTTACATTTGGATTAATGTTCCTATCCACATTTGGATGCTCACTGAACTGGCAACACATTCCTGGCCTAGATCCTTGCGTGGAAGTTTGCTAAGATGGCTCTCCTTAGCTGGAAAGGGGCACGGATGCTTTGGTCTACTATACGTGCATTAAAATTTAGTTTTCCATCTGTTGGTGAAAGTACTGTATTCATTTTGAAACACCTGTCAATAAGTTAACAAGGCCTTGCTACAGAGAGAGAGAGAAAGAGCATAAATCAAAATGCCCAGCAATATAATGGATGAGATTCGGGTGGGAAATAGCATTGCCAACCTCCAGGTGCTATTACAACTGCTCTCCAGTCAACAGGAATAAATTCACCTGGAGAAAATGGTTGCTCTGAAAGGTGGACTCTATGGCATTATACCCCGTTGAAGTCCCTCCCCTCTTCAAACCCCGCCCTCCTCAGGCTCCACCCCCAAAATCTCCAGGTATTTCCCAACCCCTGCCTGGCAGGGTGGCAGCCCTAGTGGAGAGAGAGGTGGTTTTTCACGAGGATGGGTTTGCACATTTTCCGTTGCTGGTGCGGCTGTTGTCAAAGCACAACAGCAGAGTCTGTTCCAGGGGTGGGGGTGGTGCCTGTCCCGTAAAATACAAAGGGAGTCTTTGAAATTGGAACCAGTCCTGGATTTTGCATAGCTCTGCCCTGAGTACTAATTCCTTATTGTTTGTCCTTAACGTGGATAAATTCTAGGAACTTTATTTTTTCAAAAAACAAACATGTTAATGTTGGCTTGGGTTCCTATAATTGTAAGACTAATAGAGACTGTTATCTGGAATTCCCACAATAGTTAAATATTTGTTTTCTCAAGGCATTTTTAAAGTCATAGCAAGTGACTGATGCAGAATAGCAGATAAATATGAATGACGAAGCTATAGGCACTTTCACGCACACTAAATAACGCACTTTCAATCCACTTTGCAACTGGATTTTACTGTGTGAAGTGGCAGAATCCCCTTTCAAATAGACACTGAAGTGGATTGAAACTGCATTATTTTAGCATGTGTGAATAGTTTCATCCAGCATAATAGAAAATGCATTCCCAATGGGTGAGTTAACTACCAGGATGCTATGGAGACTACAACAGCATTCAAAATAGAGCTGGTGTTTATTCATACTAATATTATTTTTAAAGGTAAAGGTAAAGGTTCCCTTGCTCGAAAGCCAGTCGAGTCCGACTCTAGGGTTGCGGTGCTCATCTCCGTTTCAAAGCTGAAGAGCCAGCGTTGTCCGAAGACGTTTCCGTGGTCATGTGGCCGGCATGACTAAACACCAAGGCGCACGGAACGCTGTTACCTTCCCACCGAAGTGGTACCTGTTTATCTACTTGCAATTTCTTGCTTTCGAACTGCTAGGTTGGCAGGAGTTGGAACCAGAGACGGGAGCTCACTCCGTCATGCGGCACACTCGGGTCTCGAACTGCTGAACTACCGACCTTCCAGAGCCTACAGTTCAGCGTCTTAACCACTTGAGCCACCGCAGCTCCACTAATATTATTTACTTATTTATTAAATTAGATTTGCTAGGCCACCCTTCCCTACAGTAGGGCTCAGGGCAGCTTACAAGATGATATACAAGTTCCCAATTTAAAATCTAAATTAAAGCCAGCCAACAGGCATCAAAAGATAAAACAGTATATATGTACAAGTATAAGATGGGGGGTCCCCCTCATGGATCACTGCCTTGTCATGGCGAGGGGGCTTGCGTGGTTCGATGACGCTATGGGCTATGCCGTGGAGGGCCACCCAAGACGGACAGGCCACAGCAGAGAATCGTGGAGGGCCACCCAGGACGGACAGGCCACAGAAGAACTCAGACCAAGTGTGATCCACTGGAGAAGGAAATGACAACCCACTCCAGTATCTTTGCCAAGAAAACCCCAGGCTAAAAGATATGCTGCCGGAAGATGAGCCCCTCAAGTCAGAAACTGAGGAAGAGCAGAGGGCAAGTACAAGTAACCCCAGAAAGAGTGAAGCGGCTGGGCCAAAGCCGAAAGGACGCTCAGTTGTGGATGTGTCTGATGGTGAAAGGAAAGTCCGATGCTGCAAAGAACAATACTGCATAGGAACCTGGAATGTAAGATCTATGAATCAAGGTAAGCTTGACGTGATCAAAAATAAGATGGCAAGACTGAACATCAATATCTTAGGAATCAGTGAACTAAAATGGAGAGGAATGGGCGAATTTAACTCAGAAGACCATTATATCTACTACTGTGGCCAGGAATCTCGTAGAAAAAATGGTGTGGCCTTTATAGTCAACAAGAGAGTGCAAAGTCAGTACTGGGATACAATCTCAAAAACAACAGAATGATTTCGGTCCAATTCCAAGGCAAACCATTCAACATCACAGTAATCCAAGTCTATG